TCTAAGAGGTAATTAATAATCTGCATGGACCTCAGCTGAGATAACAATAATTGTTATTATAATAATGATAAATATCATCATCATTACTACTATTCTGATTATCATTATTGTTATTATTATCATATTATTATTATTATTATTAGTTTTGTTATTATTATTATTATTATTATTATTATTATTATTATTATTACTATTATATGACTCTTATCATTATTGTCATTATCTTTCTTCTTCTTTTCTTCATCTTCTTCTTCTTATTATTATTTTTGTTGTTTTATTGTTGTTATCATTATTATTATTATTATTATTACTATTATTATTATTATCATCATTATTATTATTACTATTATTATTATTATCATTATTATTATCATTATCATTATTATTATTATTATCATTATTATTGTCATTATTACCATTATCATTATCATTATTATCATTAATCATTATAATTATTATCTTTATCTGTATGATCATTATTATCATCATTATCATTATGATCATTATGATTATTATTATCATCATCATCATCATCAATAGTATCATCATTATTACTATTATAACCTCAATGCTGACAAACGATCACATAATGTGACTTGTAAATACGATTTCGGTTTATTTGGGCAACATAACGAGGTCAAAAATGTATCGTAATTTGATATCGTATCCGTGCATTAACTGTGAATTAGCAAGATTTACATACATCTATTAACCTCGATTGGAGATAATCATTCACTGAGCGAATTGTCATGTAGTTGTACGTAGATCATATATAATTTCATAATCAATTGTTGACTATAATATATCATAATAAGAAATCTAGATATATATATTTCTCTTTACACATACATAGAAGTTATATATATATATATATATATATATATATATATATATATATATATATATATATATATATGTGTTTATGTGTGTAAATATATATTCATATATATGTATGTATACATGTATATATTCATATATATATATATACACATGCATGCATATGTGTGCGTGTGTATATACATACCTTCATACATATACATATATATAAATATAACTATAAGAATATATATATCTAGATGTATGTGTGTGTGTGTATGTGTGTGTGTGTGCAGGATTAGTATGTGCGATTAGTCCGGTTTTCTATAATGCGACAACTATATCTCACTAAGACCTAAAATACCATAATAACAAAACTGATAATGAAAATCATCCCACCCGCATAGTCATGAAAACGGCAACGTAATTAAATAAAACTGCCAGACAGCCTTCAATTTGGTCTAAAGGGAAAAAAAAAGAGACGTGAAAAAAGAAACCATGCCATAATTTTGACAGACTTCCAAAAATAGACGTTCCAGTGTTTCAAAGGCTCACATTTCGGCGAATGCAACCACGTGTTCCAAGCACCGAAACAGTGGCTTCGTTCAGACAGAAGCAACGAAATAAAACTCTAAAGTGATTTTAACCTAAGTTAATGTAATGAATATAAATGTTGAAGCGTAAAATCAACTTAAAATCATCTTTGCAGGATATGAGTGGGGTTCAATAGATGTAATTCAGAAAGCACGTAGGGTTAATTAAGTGGTTCAAAATCGATTAAAAATAACTCGGTTCCCTTGGTTACCTGCAAATAAATTAGCAGGTTTGGGGATATAAGGTATGTGTGTGTGTAAGTACGTAGATTTATGTATATATATATAAATATATATATATATATATATATATATATATATATATATATTTCGATGGATAAGTATATGTATATAAATATGTATATATGTATATATATAAACAGACATATATACATATATATAAACATATATATATATATATATATATATATATATATATATATATATATATATGCACATACATGTATATATATAAATATAGATATATATATATATTGAAATATACATATGTATAATACATATATACATATATATTATGTCTGTTACTGTATAAATTTCTAGGAGCATGATATATGTAAATACTTTTTTTCTCTTTCCGAAGAAGATCCTGAAACTACGAAGGAGCGTCATTAAAGGGATTGAGAGGAAAGAGCTGGGGGAGGAAGGGGGGGGGAGGTTCCCAATGACCTGCACGAGGGGATCATCCACCACGCACGCGCCCTCTGTTGCAATGTGATGGATTTCAGGTAGGGCCATGTACCCACCCGCCATGAGCGAGCTTGCGACATTTACCGGAGTCGTAGCTTATTGATTGGCGAAAGGAGGTGTTATAGTTAGGTAGAAACCATATTTTAGGTATTTTTGTGTGGTGGAAAAAAAACTTGGGAAATAATGATTTTCAGTTTCATTCGTGTAAGTTTTAGTTTGACTTGATCACTTCTTGCTATATTGATTATTAGCATGTGTGTGTGTGCGTGCGTGTGTCTGTCTCGGTATGTTTGTGAGTTTGTTGGCGTATGTGTTTGTATTAATACACTCATCTATATGTTTTTTTGTTGTCTTAGATGCATTTTTATGAGTGTAATTCACTA